ATTTTCCTAATTAACGCTGTACAGTTGCTTTGACACAATCTGTTTTGTTAAACGCGCTATATAAATAAAGGTGACTTGACTTGACTTAATAAACAGCCAATATGCTAGTAATATGCATGCTAATAAGCAAAGATAATAGTGAGAATTGGTCCCTAAAGTCTTACCAAAATATATAAGATATATAGCAGAAAAAAAATAGGCCAAAAATATTGTGCAATATATTAACTAATAAAATAAAATATATAATTAAATTATGACAAGGTATTTGTCATCATTTATATATCATAATGGTGTTTGTATAAGATCAGGTGATTCCCCGATTGATTTCTGAGTCTGGACTCGACACAGAAAGCTTCCGACTTTTGCAGTTATGATAGGTGTTGTTATTGTTCAGAGGCAGTAAGGTATGCCGAGCTGATTGAGTGGAGTGGATGTTTAATTAAGTTGATGAGTGCTTTAATTGACGGCATAAATTGCATGCCTGTGAATATGATCCGTCATATTCCATTTGAGTTTTATGTAGATGAACACATTACTTTAATGGCCTGCCGTTTTACAGCACTGGAGGGGGTGCTAGGAGAGAGCGAGACGGGGGTGAGGGAGGTTAGGAGGAGGGTACGAGGGAGGTTCCCACCGTTACATTTCTACAGCAGCCAGATGGCTTTTCTTGCAAGAGAATTAAAAGATGTTTCTAATTCACAGCGTTGCCTCCTGTGTAAATTAATATTGCAAGGCCGAATCATTTCTGTTTTGGTAGAATCCGAGACAGAAAGAGAGAGAACAAAAAATCATTTTTTTTTTTTGGATAAGCAGGAGATTCCACTAGCAGATTGTTGCTCAGGTAAACGGATCCATATTTGAGATGCTGGGCGGCAGCTCTTGAACAGTGGCCCATGTTAATTGACTGCTTGGGAAAGCAAAAACTATAATGGCTTGTTATTAGTCACGAACAGGGATGAACAGAGAGAGAGAGAGGAGCCTGCAATCATTACCGGCATGATAAAGAGGCATTAATTAAGCAAAAGAACAATGATGTAAAAATTAGCTGCTTAATATTTGTAAATGATTGCGCTTTTCATAAATACATTAGCTTACAGTCTGAGGTTAAAAACAAAATGTTTATTCTGTCTGGTGAGATTTTGCATTCTGAATTTAGCCTGTGATCGAATGCAATAATTATATCTATCTATCTATCTATCTTAACTGTTAATGCTGTGTAGATACTACATTATTTAGTTATTTAAAAGGTATTGTCCATTTTAAAACCAGGCCGTCTGATGCATATTGCACACAAAACAGTTACAAACTGGCTGAAATCTCAGGCTTCAATCTGACTGGCTGCCTTAACATAATTTCCACATTGGTTGGAACATACAAGTGGACACAAAGAGCACTTTTAAAGAATAAATAGTCACTAGCAATCACACATTTATTAAGGGAAATGTGGTTTAGGGCTGTCGATCACAAGGAGTCTTCCTGGTTAAACTTGAGGTTCCCTTTCAGTTGGTCACTCTCGACGTCACGTCGGATGGCCGACGAAATTGGGATCTCGCTTAGAGAGACCAATCTACTTTGAGTGTAAATTAAACGAGCCAATGCACATTGGCATGAGATTATTGCATTCAGCTGCCGCTGATCACAGCGTGAGTATAAGTAGGCAGCAGATGCAGCGCATATTCCGCTTTTCGCTTCAGAGCCGAACGATCACATCGTTCTGCTCCTGACTACTCTACTGAGAGAAGAAGACTGAACGAGTTCAGCGCGCTCTTGGAGAGCTCTTCGTGTTGGCGGTACGGCGTTTCAGCGGTGATGGTTTCCCGTGTTGAGTGGGTTGCACACATCAGGCTGCACTACCCCCTGTTTGTGTTGCAGATGATCATCTCCCCTGTGCGCCTCAAGGATGGCACCTTTTTACTGCCAGAACCCAATCTGCTGGATCCTCCTCCCTCACCACCCTTGATGGTGGGGCAGCTAAGGGGTTACAAGGGTCCCCCCAGTGGAGCGGTCGGTTGCGATGCAGTTGTGTCCTAATACCGCCTCCAACCGGCAGGGAGAACCGTGCCTCCCCTCCCGGGTCTGTAGGTACTCGACTGGCCAGTGATGCCTTTACGACCTGTGGAGAAGCTGCCTCCGCCTTAAACGCTACGGCGTGATTGCAAGTGCACCAGGCCAAGGCACTGAGGGACTTGCACGAGGGTGGTCACGATCTGGAAGTTCGCAGAGAACTCCACACCGCGGTGGACCTCGCGCCACGAGCGACGAAGGTTACGGCGCGGTCTCTGGATCATGCAATGTCCACTATGGTGGCATGCGCGAGACGGCAAGACACGATTCTTGAACGCCCCCGTGTCCCAGGCCGGCCTTTTCGGACCCTCCTCTCTCGCCAGTGAGCAGCAGTGGGCGGATCGGGAGGACGAACCAACGGACTACCTACACACCCTCTGCTCCAACGCAGGTCAGTTTTACACACACCCAGACCCCGGTCGGGCCGGGTCCCTACGTTCTTCCGCGCTGCCCCACTGCGGGTACGCCTGTAGTTCCGTTGATGCCACTTGCGCGGTGTCTGGGAGCCTGGCTTGAGCTACTTAGCCCGTCTTGATGGCTCCTTCGAACCGTCAGGCTCGGCTATGCAATTCAGTCACCTGGCGTCCCCCCAAGTTCAGTGGCATTTGCTTCACAACAGTGAAGGCGGCCGATGGTCCTGTTTTGCGGGCGGAGGTCACAGTCTTACTGGCGAAGGATGCAATAGAGCCGGTCCCTCCAGCCGATATGAAGACGGGGTTTTACAGCTCCTACTTCATTGTACCCAAGAAAGGCAGTGGGTTACGACCAATCAGGAACGCATCTTCGGGTGCATCCGTCCCCGAGATTGGTTTGCAGCGGTTGACCTGAAGGACGCGTACTTTGTGTCGACCCTTCCGCACCACAGACCATTGCTGTGGTTCGTGTCCGAAGGACGAGCATATCAGTACGAGGTCCTGCCCTCCGAGCTGTCCCTGTTGCCCCGTGTCTTCACGTAAGTTGCGAAGGTACCCCCTGTTCCCCTGAGAGAACAGAGGATTCGCATTCTCAACTACCTCGACGAAGCAGTCTCAGGATCAGTTGTGCGAACACAGGGATTTGGTGTGCTCACACCTCAGCCTGTTGGGCCTTCGGGTCAACTGGGAAAAGAGCAAACTCTCCCCGACGCAGAGGATATCTTTTCTCGGTATGGAGTTGGACTCGGTCGAACAGACAGCACGCCTCACGCAGGAACGTGCTCAGTCGGTGTTGAACTGCTTGAATACATTCAAGAGCAGGATGGCGGTCCCACTGAAACAGTTCAGAGGCTCCTGGGGCATATGGCAGCTACGGCGGCAGTCATGCCGCTGGGGCTGCTCCATATGAGACCGCTCCATATGAGACCGCCCCAACTGCATTGGCATCAACTGCCTCGAATTGCTGGCAGTGCACCTTGCCCTGAGCCGTCTCAAAGGGCGCTTACGAGGCAAGCATGTACTAGTCCGCACGGACAACACCGCGACCGTTGCGTACATCAACCGACAAGGTGGTCTGCGCTCCCGTCGCATGTCGCAACTCGCCCGCCACCTGAGGTCGCTGGGGAAGCATGACCTGGTCGTCAGGTTCCTTAAGGGGGCGAGAAGGCTAAATCCTCCACGGCCCCCCTCTATACCCTCTTGGGACCTGACTCTAGTGCTCACAGCACTACATCAGGGCCCATTTGAGCCTTTGCAGACGGTCGAGCTGAAATTTCTTTCGATGAAGACTTTGCTCCTGCTGGAATTGGCCTCCATCAAGAGGGTAGGGGACCACATGAACAAGCTACAGTAGCCGGGTTTCCATCCAAACTTGCAAATTTAACTAATGCGCAAAATTGAAATATTGCATAAAACATTTACGAATAAGCACCGCTTCAATCCAACGTGTCAAAGAGAACAAACTCGTCACTTCCTGGTAGAACTGGCGCTAGGCTATATATCACTATGAAAAGTAGGAAAAACCCCTGAATATAATAATTTTCATAGGCCTATATAATAAATTACATGCTCCTCAGAGTGAGCAGACGAAACAAAATAAATGCGGTCATTGCTTTCGGAGGTGGATGCTGCTGTTTGGGAATGCAGCCGTGTAACAGTTCTGGGAGGCAATTATACAGAAATACATTGATGACCGACTTTGCTCGGACATTTCAAAATGACCATAACATTTCAGATGCTGAGGAACGAGATTGGTCCACTGATTAGGTTTTGCCGTCCCATAGCGCAGTCACATTACTTTTTGATGCGCATGGAGGAATTTACTCGGCCAATGTGTTTCCATCTCCTTTTATTCGCATTAACCCTTTTTCGCAAAGTCAAAAACCACCTAAAGCGAGTGTAAAAACTTTTTTGCGAATTAAATTATATTTTGATTCGAAATTTGCCGTTTCCATCACTCGTTTCTGATGTGATACTTCAAAATGCGCATAAAAACAGGGTGATGGAATCACTGTTAGTGTATAAGGGTGGGGTCAAGTTGTTCCGCGGCTAGCCAATGTAGAACATAGGCAGGCATTATGCAAATGTGTCACCCCATGACATGTAGCCATCACGGAAGTGTGATTCGAATTACTGACAACTCGTTTAGGCTGTTCAGAGTTGATTCTTTCTTTTGGGAGACAATAACTTTATCATGCACTTTCGGTTTTACAACTTTGCAGAATGTTTACATTCATATACAGCTACATTAGACAGTATTCGAAATGGCATGATAGGGGCACTTTAAATGGGCGGTTTATGGCCAGAATCTTGCCATTAACACACATTCTGTTTGAGCTGTGCTTCATACATCGCCACATGACTGAAAAACAGACAGTGGACTTTTCTTTGTCCATGAAATTCCGCTGAAATTTCTCTAATGTGACCGAACCTTAAATAGGCTGTTCATGGATAGAATATTGTCCATTTTCAAAAGTCTGGGACGAGACTACACCTTTCTTAACCCCTCTACACTCTCTACAGGTGGAATGTGCTCGGCCTGCAGGGGGCGTTGCTTAGTCATTTTGTGGAGCCGGTGTACCTGTACAGCCTGACAGTGGGCAGCTTAAGACACACGGGTCACTTCTCCAGGATGATGAACCACAGGTTGGAGAGAGTCGGTCCTCTGCCTACCTGCTACCACCGTAACCAGCCTCTACTGAGCGGTATGTCCTTTAAACCTTTCCCTTATCATCTTCTAAATGTTAGCTAGACTCTGAACAACAGAGTTAACAGCCGTGCTTTTTATGGTCCCTGCTGACCAGTAGATCCCTGTATACAAGCATAACTGGTCTCACTCGCACCTCTCCAAGTGGGATTCTAATCATCATCAATCAGCATGGGAGGCTAAAGATGGTGTGAGAGTAATAGAGGCCAAGTAGTAAGAGCTGTGCTTGTAAACCTCACTCCCTAGCGACTTGTTGGCACACCATGCCAGTTGACTCTGGTTTGAATCCCACTCTGAGCTGTGCAAGTAGGACCAGTTACACTAGCAAACTCAAGGTTGTGGGTTTGAATCGAAGGGAACACGCATATTAATAAAATGTATGGCTTGAACGCACAGTTAAACCTAAGACCATGCCAATGCTTTAGCAGACGTGACCTTATGCGCATGGAGGACACTCCGTCTCGCTCCATCACTTTGTTAAACTGCTCTCCTGAGCCTCAGTATGGCAGACGGACTGCTCTATTGGATCTACCCATCCTCCAAATCAATCTCATCAAACACCTTATCACTGCCATTGAAGAGGAGAGCGATCCATTCACTCTTCATCTCACGCCCAGTGGGCCACACGTCTCCGGCACAGCCCCTTTGACCACCATTGATGAGCTTCTCTTCCTTTGTCTGGATTCTCTTGTTGGGGAAAATGGGCTGGTTATTTTAGGCATCGCCATCATAAAGAGTTCCCAAGAAGCGGCCGAGATCTCTTATCGTAAGGGAAGCAAATGACCCCTTCAGTCAGGAAGCTAAAATGAGGCTGTCCTCAGTGGTCATACCTGCGCTTAACGCTCAGATGCTTTAGCACAGCAGACATATTATCTTAAATACAGCATCACATTTAGTGTTTTAGCAGCATTCTTGTGTAAAATACTCTGCATGGTGTATAGACAACATCGTTAGTGACAGTAAATGAAGACAGCTTGAGGGAAAATAAAAATGACTGGTATTTCCTTCAAACTTTTCCTGTGACTCATTATTTAGTTACACTTATGCGCAGGGGAGGTCATTAACATCTGCACTATAAAATGCAACATGCATTTAGTAAAACAATTTAGATTAAAGCTCCAAACAACAGCATGTTTACAAATAAGCTATATTTAATAAATGTTTGAATACGAAGGTGCATGAAGATTGAGAAATATCATTCAAATTATACACACACAGTACATGAAATGAAAACTCTGGACACATTTGTCTTCAAGAAAAAAGTTTTATTCTACGTGATGGAGGTTGCAATCTATTGGTCCGAACAGAATGAGTATGAGTGAAAAATAAAAGTCTCAAAATTGAGACTGTGTATGACTTTACTGAGGATGTCCTTTAAAGACAGGTCACATACTTTAGCACATCACTTTTAGAAGATATGAAGTGGCACTTAAGAGTAGCCGTATGTCAAACACAGTGATCACATTTAGCAGCATCTTGTGTAAAATACTCTGGATGATGGATAGACGACAACATTGTGACTGACAGTAAATGATGAAGCCTGCTTGAGGTAAAATACAAATTAAATGCTATATTACTGACATATAATGGATAAACCAAATGCGGAGAATGAAATGACACTGTGAATAAGTGAGCGAGGGCTTGCGAAAGCAGCTGCTTTACAACATAAAAGGATATGCACATTATTATAGCAGACAATTTATTCCACCTGTTTAGATGCACCGAATAGAAAATCTGAGATTTGCAGGAGGATTAAAGGAATAGTTCAACCAAAAATGAAAATGCTGTCATTTGCCAAATGTGTATGACTTTCTTTCTACTGTGGAAAACAAAAAGAGATATATTACATAATGTCCAGGTTGCTTTTTATCAGGATATGAGCTCCAGCATCTTATACGTTCCACAGCAGAAAGTTAGTCAAGTTATTTCAACACTCTCTGCAGTTTAGTAAATGTGCTACCGCACTATATCATCATTGTGTCTCACATATATCATTCACAAGTCAGCAGTACAGTACATGGGCATGCTATGATACTCTCCACTTTAAGAAAGAAAGAACGCCATGCTAATTGGTGTAGCGATGCGGCAATGATTGAGGAGCCCGAGAGATCCTTTGTGCCTGGAACCAGTGTTTACCTCACAGATAGCACAGACGACACAGACATGCTCGCCTGCTAATGAAACACTTCAGCAATCACATGCTAAATAGAACCTCCCTCGAGTGCTCTTTCTTACCCGTCTTGCTTGCTTTCGCTCCCTCTCTTTTCTCCTATACACAGGCCTGAGCAACAGCGACTGCAGGCAGCAGGGGAAGTCCGTGTGTTACAGTGTCAATTGGACGGCAGGTGACACCCAACTGGAGGTGCTCAACGCATCTACTGGGAAGAGAAGAGACTCCGGGGCTCCGTCCAGACTTTGCAAGCATGCGCTTTTTGCACGTTGGATCAGACTCTATCGCAAGGTGAGCTCACCTTGGCATGCTGGATTAGAATTTGCACACTTCCATACTATAAACCAGGCGAAAAACAGTATACAAAAACAGAAGTATGTCCGAAATCATAGTATTTGAAAAACATACCCAGATGACCTACCACTTCCGCTGAGATTCTGGAATGTGCAGTTGATGGACACTTCATGAGACCAAGGAAATTGATTTATGAGAGGCAGTGAAGTGACACAGCTGACACTGATACCGTAGGTCACATGACAGTAACAACATGGTGGATGTAGTGTCTGAATTTCATTCATGCAACCCATATTCGTACTATATAGAACAGTGGTTCTCAACTGGTTTGGCCATTGGTCCAACATTTTCCCATGGTCATCAAGCCACGACCCACATTTTTAGGAGATATATATAAAGGCAAAATTATTTAACAAAAATTGTTACCATCGTGAATACACAATACTAACATGAAACATGGAAACTGCTCCTGAATAGAATGAATATCATACCTTCATGCAAATCCTTCCCAGCTTACACATGAAGTACCAGTTATGTGATTTCTTTTGCGCTTTAGTGAAATTATATACAGCGCGCTGCCGCATTTGCGCGTGCAATTGACATATCGGTAAGCCCCTCCCCTCGAATGCAGATGAGCCAATGGCAGTCGAGTATCAGTTGCACGGAGAGCGAAACTCGGATATCTGTAGGTTTCAGTGCCATAGAGAAACATAGGAAGATCCGAAGCTCGCATCGTTTTTATGGGGTTTATGCTTCAAAAATGGAAAAATTATGTGCCTGGGGTACTTGTAACAGTGATTCCAGGTATCATAAGAGGATAGGCAATATCATTTATTTTATTCTATTTCCTAAACCCAAACAAAACGGAACAGGAAACGGAACAAAACAGGACAGAACTGTCTTGCGACTCACTTTTGGGTCGGGACCCACCAGTTGAGAAACACTGATATAGAACATTCTTTTAATGATCACAAAGTTCGTTCAAATTTAAATGTAGTACCTATTCAGACAATATCTCATTTTGTACGCACTGATAGTGTTTACATCTTAAATTGTTAAATGACATGACATAAATACATTACACAAACTACATTTCATGTGTGAAAATTCATAACAAAATAAAGTAGGCATTGCATTCTCAGTGTTGCCAGCAGGGGCACTATATTAGCTAGCATTAGTGTAAACTGAAGAAATAACCAGATTTATTTCCAAAGGGGCTTTCGCACCGCATAGTTCTAGAATCTCAGTTCTAGGAACTAGCCAGGGGTGCGTTTCCGAAAAGCATTGTTAGCTAACTATTGTCGTTACTTCCATTGAACTCTTATTTGTAATGACGGAACTTGCGACATTGCTTTTGGGAAACGCACACCAGCACGGTGGTTCCTAGAGAACCAATTTCCCCCTCGGGCCGTTTTCCTGGTTGCATTCGCTCTGGCAACAGGAACTCTGAAGCGGTCGATTTAAAGAGCATGAAAATCTGACTAAATCTCCGATGGCAACTTGCAGTGTTACATATCAAGGCTGAGAAAAGAACACAATGCTGCAGACAACAGGTAGCTAAATGCCGTTATCACTGTTTTCCATGTTCATGGAGTAAATATTTGTACATGGCTTTTTAAAAATGCTGGGTAGCCGGAGTTTGGTATGCGTTTGGCCAATCAGCGTACACTTACATCACATGTAGTTCCTATAGAACTGTTTTAGACCCTACTCTGAAGTAGGAGCTAATTTAGTTCCCCCAAACGGAGTGCCTAGAACTAAAACCATTCCTAGTTCCTGTGGTGTGCACACACCAAAACGCTTGAACTTCTGCCAGTAGTTCTAGGAACTATGAAAAGGTTCCTTTGGTGTGAAAGCCCTTCAAGATGCTACCTGAATGCCACTAACCAAATTATGTTAGCACAATGTACCATACTATAGCCAAACGGTCATCACGAACTATGTGCCATCTTAAAAAGTATGCAGTGTTTAGTACATAGCAGAACACTAGTACTCCATTACGAACATAGCCTTAAATTCGGAATGAAATGTAAGTTGTGATCGTGTTTTGATGCATATACAAGATTCCCATATTGTGATGTATGAACCGGCTTCACAAACAAAGGAAAAAATCTAGGGTGAGACTTGATTTTGTCCATTGGGAGTTGTGTTTTTATTGTTTGCCAATTGTCGCAATCTTATATGAGTGACAGGTTGCTGGAGGGCAGGGATTATTGTCCCGTCCTCCCCCCAGTGCACACGTCATCAGAGAGGAGTTCATTGCGAGGGGGAGGTGAAGTTAATCATCAATATCCATTTCATGGTGACGAAGTCCTGTTCACACTTGATACACCACAATAAATCTGAAGTCACTGAGCTTTTGCTATACTGCCTGGTCACCATAGTAGTCTATGTCTGGTCACCAGGGATGCCATAACATGGGAAAAATGTTTAGCCGCAGCTTAGAAACGCGCCCCTGCTGGTCACTGAACTCTAGTTCACTTACTGCAAGCAGTTTTAGGTTAGGGATCTCGATCAAGGTCACAGTCAATGGACCCTTGCAGAGTTAAAACCTAGGATCTTTCAATTACCAACCCAGTTCCAGTGGCATTTCCTCAGGTCAATACAAAGAACTAGTTGAGGATGAATAATTCTGTTTTATTAACCACAACAGACAGCTCCCATTTGTTATGAGATGGGGGAAAATAAAGCGTAGGGCAGAATTAGGCCCTCATCATGTAAATGTATGGGAGAGATGCCGGCTGCTGTACCAAATGCTGGCAGTTAAAATCTAATGACTGTGGAAATGGTAATCATCTTGAAAAGCACTTGAGCGGCCTCCCATGGCAAACGCTCAGCGCTCGCAGTCAGGGACGCAAGAGCACACACGCTAATCTCCAAAGAAACTTTTCTTTTCTTCGAGCCCCTCCGTTCACCGCTCCCTCTTTTTGCTCACACCATTTTTTCGTGTGTGTGTGAGTGTGCGACAAAGAAATGCACAAAAGCACGGAGAATGTTCAATTGCTTGTGAAATTTAAATGGAGAGATTACACAGCTGCTCAAACGCCACGTTTGTGCCGGCTCATTCGTTTTGTTTTGCACTCTCACCATCTCTTCTGTCGGTCCCATCCCTCTCTCCTTCATTCTTTCTTTTGTTTCCTCTCTCTATAGCTGGTGGTCCGTGGGGCGAGTGGTACGCCGCTGTACTGTGAAGCAAAGCAGGCGGCCGGCACCTACCAGACTGTGAAGCTGCAGTGGTTGAAGGGTCTACAGGAAGCAGGATTAGGGACCTGGGTCAGAAAACCTCCCGAGCAGGAAAACTTCACTCTGACTGTATGAGTGCGGAAGCCTGACCTCGTCACAAAAAACACCTTCACCTTGCAACCAGTCGCCACAGAAGCCCTATTTCACCCCTAAAGTCAACAACATCCCACTGCCACAAAATCTCCACAGGGAGATGACAGGAGTCACGACTAGGTGGTAAACTTTGTTCTGTCAAACTCTCGCAAAATGTTGCTACCAAGGTAAGGATGAGGCACAGGAGGATTCTGTACCTTGCCTTTTATGGCTTCTGTAGAGAGGGGTACGGTTAGTGTTTTTTTCCAGACCAGTAAAGCGCAAACCACCCCGGAGCCGATTCTATAGATTTCATTGGTCATGTCAGTCACAATGCTGAATACTAACCTATTAACCTGAACCTGAGTAACCTAGTGTTGGAAGCGCATCCCCAATACATAGCATTACTATTTGTTGCAATTAAATCCCTGCCAAATGTCTGGACTTTAAGTCAGGTTGACTTTGTGATAGGGTTGACCAATGACATAGACTGAGGGGAGGGATTTGCGCTTAACTGATATATAAAAATAAAAAACATGTGTACGGTTAATGTTCCGACATCATGAAAGATCCTACAGTATACCCCCGTCCTCAACATTTGATTAAAACATAGAATAGTGTACCACCTTGTTCTAGCTAGTCAAAAAAAGTTCCCCAACCACCGAGTGCTATGCTAAGCTAGAAGGCTAAGCTAAGAACAAATTCAACACAAAATTATTTTCTTGCATTTCTAATCAGGCTCAGAATTGAATACCTAAAATGTTATGGAATTGCTTTTGTGTCCAAAGAGGATAGGATCTTACAGGACATCGAAAGCAATGGATTCTACTGCTAGGGTTGTCAAATGTTCGGTATAATATGGAATCGTTCCATATTTAAGGCATCACAGAAGCATGTCCCATATTCGCAGGTATACGCCGTAAGACCTAGACCAGGGGTGCCCAATCCTGCTCCTGGCGATCGACTGTCCTGCAAAGTTCAGCTCCAACCATAATCAAACACACCTAAAGCAACTAATTAAGGTCTTCAGGACCACTTGAAAATTAAAGGCAGGTGTGTTTAATTAGAGTTGGAGCTGAACTTTGCAGGACAGTCAATCGCCAGGAGCAGGATTGGACACCCCAGACCTAGACCATACGTATAATAAATTCTCAATTGATAATTATTCATTCTTTTTGCACAAATCATTGTTTGAATTGCATTCGTAGCCATTTGTGCAAGGCTTTAAGACCTTGCATAATCCTTTGTCGTCAAGTCACTCCCGCTTCACAGCTAAAAGCGATTCCATTTCACCGTCCACATTTTGATTTCGGCAATACGTTTTGGCGAATGCAAACAATGTGATATTGATCATAAGAACAACATCCAGCTAGGCAAGAAATCATGCAGTCTACCTGAGGGAAGATGTCTTTCGTTAGTTAATATTGTTAAATAGAGAAAAAAAGAGAGCATTTTTTCAATTTTAACTTCTAGTGTGTCTTAAACTTGGACCTCAATACAGAAGCACAAATTCAAGAACCAAAAGCAGCCCACACTCTCCAAGTTCTCTTTAATTGATAATTATTAATTTTCATTCATTCAGGCTACATGGTTGCAATAACATTTTAGTTCAAAATTTGAAGTGCCATTGTTTAAAAAAAAATGCTTTATTGACTAACGTTTCATAGATGTTCAGTTGTTATGCTTTTAACTTTTGTATGCATGTAATTTCACAGCACAGTACACAGTTCAACATAACATTAAACTATAAAGTTCTTGTAATGAGTTCCAGAAGCTTCCGGAATACCTTTAGTGTGAAGGTAGATCATATCAAATTTGCTTTGTCCTCTTGTGTAACACTCCCAAGATTAAATTTTCTCAGCATTTCCATACACTGCACTACAGCGGAAGTTGCATTGGCCATTGAAGCCAAATGCAGAAGCGATCGTGCATACAGTCTATTATGGCATGTCGATTATCGCAAAATAATTTTGATTTGTCCATCAGTATTTAAAAACCAAAAACATGGAAGGTTAGGGTTACCCATAGGGGGTGCTTTGTTCTGGGAAACAATGTATGTAGCTTTCGCAAGACTTTTGGCAGAACAAGGATTACCAGCTACGGAATTGACAACAAGGGAAAATGTGAGAAACGGGGACAATTTTCTCACAACACAGCAGATGGAAAGATGGTCACCTCTCTCTCTCTCTCTCTCTCCACTGACGGCTCTCCTGTAGCCGTCATTCAAACATGTGTATGTGTGTTAACCTTCGCCAAAGTGAAAGGCAGCCGCCGTCTTGTCATTATCTGCCCATTTCCGGATGGCCTGCCCCTGAAGAGCTCCGAAACGCTGTCCAATTAGAGGTCCTGTCAGAGTGATGCGTCCCTCATTTTCCTCTCTCTCCTTTGCCTTTGGTTCATTGGTACAAATTCAAAATTGGAAAAAAAGAGGGAATGAAAAAACAGTAGGGGTTGACATTGCAAAGACAGGTTAATTCAGCTCCATTTCAGGTGTGCAGGTTAGAGGTGATGGTGACAAGCTAATGTAAATGGTGCCATTACGACACCCCAGGTCTCTTACTGTTTTTTGAGCAGGGACAAGCTTGCTGCTTTAATACCTCAATCCTGTTCACCGGTGACGTGTCATTTCTCCGCTGGTTTCTCTTTGTGTGTCAGTGCTGTATCTTTACACGGGGTGTTCCAGGCAGAGACTTGCGTGAAAAGAAAGGGAAACGTCGGCGGTTTGATGCAGGCACAAAAGACGACAAGAAAATGGAGTTAAGAGTGCGAGTAGAGATCCGTGATTACGGAGTAATTTGTAGTTAATGGATTCATTTACAAACCGAGCACATTACAAATTGCTTCGTAAAGCCCGACACAACCTTTGAAATGCATGCCACATTAACCGAGGTTTAACCAATGCATTTGTTTATTTAATTTACAGCTACATCCCATTCATGTCTTTTTGATTTAGATGTGTGCTTTTCTGTGGTTTAGTATGCGTGCTTAAACCTTGAATTATTTCGTCAAGTTATCATTTTGTCTGTGAAGATGTTTATTGTTGTATACAAATACAATCATATTACTCCATGATTATTATATTTTAAATGACTCGCAACATTTTAATGGTTGATTCCTTTCTCTCCGTAGTTATTGCATAATTTGTTACTGCTTTGAGTATATTATCACAGCACATGTGGTTTTTTTCCCCATAAGCTTTCAGTATGTATTTTCAAATGCCACTTTGTCAACCTCTGCCGAGACCTCATGTATCCACCCCTTTACAAACAGCTCAAGATGTTACAGGGACACCTAGTGGTGGAAAATATATTTAAGGTTTTCTCTGACCCGTTTAATGTCTGATGTCATATTTTAAATAATGAATCCATCCCAGCTTAAATGTGATCATTTTGTCTACTAACAGAAATAGAATATCAATAGAAAGATGGTGAAACTGACAGATCGAAATATGTAACTCGGCATTACCTACCTTTGGCTTCTTTCCGTTATCTGGATTTATTTTTTTCCCCAAAAATATCTAAAAGGTTCAACTTGATGATATTGAATGGAATAATCTGTTTCATAGTTATTTCCACCACACTGACAACCCAGTTTGAAATTGACATAATTGGAAAGACTGTTAATGCACGTCTGTCTTATATGTACTTGTTTCACTTACCTTTTTTTTTTTTTTTTCTTTGTGGCAACATTAGTTTTTTGTTTGGGTTAAACCTTTTCTTCATTACAACAGAAACATGAAAAGCCCCAGACAAAACTACATCTCATAACAAGGCATGATTGAATGGCAATATTGTACTAATGACTGTACATTTTGTAAAAATTTGTAAAAAAAAATTAAAAATTAAAAAATTAAACTTAAAAGAATACCTTAAAGATATCTCTCAATAAAGTGTAAATTTTAACCCCAAAGCATAAGCTGCTACGGTGTGTACATTGCACTTAAGTTAAAAGTGAATGTTTATGTGAATAAAAACAAAAATGTTGTGTTATACTTTGACTTGATTCTGTTTGTTGTACTGTAAAAAATACATAAAAAAAAGTAACACTTTACTTAAAGCCTTTATGTATAATGCATTATAAGTTTAAATGCATTAATTATGCCTCGTAATGCACCTTATAATGCATTGTACAATCTCATAAATAATTGTAACCACAGTTAATACATTATAACACGCAATGTTTTAAACTATGCATTTTAAATTCGGTAGTAATATTTATGACAAGATATAATGTATTACAATGTACATTTTGAATATTTATAATGCATTATACCCTCTAATAACCCTTTAATTATTATTAATTATACATTTACACTTTAAGTAAAGTGTTACCTATATATATATATATATATATATACACACATACTGTATATAGTAATATCAGATTTTTTTGTACACAGAATAATAAATTAATTTGTAGATTCAATCAAAGCAATGCAATCGTTGAAAGACATCTTCACTTTATTCTGAAGCCCAGCAGTGAATGATTTTGATGCTATATCTCTACATTATTATATGATGCAATATGTTTCTCCAATACAGAAAATTAAGTTGCTCTCAAATTAAAAAAAGTGAAATGGCTCAAAACAGAATACCCCACAGAACATTCTACCAAGTTAAAGACAACTAAAATGTTGGAGATCAGACTCATTTTTAAAGGACGTTCTGATGGGTCATATGCGTTGTTGTGAAGGCAGCTGGATAAAAGAGGAGCGTTTTATATGCGTCTTTGCGTACACATCTAAAGCCAAATACAGTCCATTAAACATGGACCTCACACAAATATATAAACATCGCATAATAAACATCTTTTTGTTAGACCTAACAGATTTAACAGACTGTCTACGTGAAAAGAACTGACACTTTCCACCAAGACTTCTAGCACAGTCCAAAGTAGTTCTGGTGAAAGCCCAGTAATGCAGTAACGATACCAATTGTAACACACTGATGGAAGAGCTTCCATTTAAGGATTATTGACGAATGTCGCAAGTCATTCAAGCGAGCTTTCTGTAGATACGGCTATGCACAGTGGTTCACACATCACAAGAAGTCCAAAGTACATCAGAAAGCCTTTCAAGCATCAGCAGACCACACTGAGCCAGGCATTGACATTTGGTCCGATGATTATCGACGAATATTACAATATCGAAAACTCGCTGTCGCAAACGACTCTACAGCAGTGAGCAACACGCGAACTTGTTCTGAATTCAGATGCGTTGATTCAAATATTTACTTCTACATGACTTGAAAGCCCTTGAAATGGAAGTGAACATCAAATGTAGGGCTTCATAAACAGTCACTACGTTTTTTTTTTGGTGAACAAGATTACACAGCAATTATACAGCATTTTGCTTCACATATTTGACAAGAGAGGTGGGTTTGTCATGCAAATGGACTACGGCAATACTGACAGAAGCTGATTGGCCGCTTGAATGGCATTTAGAACATCAAGAAGGTGCGGATCCGTAAATGCGATTGCCGATTTCTGTTCACAAAGGCAGAGTGCTTTAAGTTTCTTTTGCACATCTCATCTCTATAAAAAGCAAAGCAGAACTCTATACAGAACGAAAGAAAAAAAAATCTAAAATGCTATCGTAAAATCAAAAGTCATCTGTACAAAGAACATCGCACAACAAAAATACCACTAAAGTGAAAACTTACTTGAGTGTAACAGCGGCAGGCCGTGAGCGAACGTTTCGGCAATGTCCCGGTCTCGCAGGATTCACGAGTCGCAATTTCATGCAAACATGTAAAAACGGGGTAACAAGACTGGGAGGAAGTTCACCACACTATATGACCTCAGAGCAGACAGCGCATGGCTAGATATGCAGAATATCCATGAAACTAAATTTTCCACACATGTCAGAAGGCGTGACGGGATGATGACCGCGGGATAGCGACCACAGACGACAACTGGGAGGAAAAACTGAGTCTTATCACACACAACGTGAAAGTGTTCTTTAAAATCTACTGCAGGTGTGGCACTGACGAACGTGTTCAGTTGTGATTACGTGGATGGGCCGTGCAAAGCTTGTGTACGTGTGAAGTGTGTCACTTCTCTTGGAGCAGGGCAGGGATGTTGATGTTCCAGCCGATGGCCTGGCGGTCGAAGCCGCAGGTGAACAGATTGCAAGCTTGGTTCTCCTCGTTCCAGGCAGAGCAGCACACCATGCGCCGATGGCCCTGCGTGTCAAATGCAATTTGGTTGTCAGGACACATAAAAAAGTACAAAACATGCTAATGCAATAGTTAAAGTGCTGTGACACAAAACCTAGTAAGCTTCCTTTCTGCCTTCATGTTTCGATAATAAAATGGACCCTTGTTAGAGACTGATTTGAGATGCTCTTCATGGGCAGCGACTTTGCTAAGAGCCACTCATGTGCTGCAAGGAAATAACACATCTCAAGAGAATCACGCGTGGGACTCGACTAACGTTCACTGTTGATTCTGGCGATTCAGTGTGTAGCTAGCTAAAGATTTAAACCGTACATTATGGATATGCTGGATGCACAAAACTGGATATTATTATATACAGAGAAATTTGATTTAAAGTCATTTGTTTATTGGGTTAAATGGTTTATAAATAATCTATATTTAAATATATATTTACAATAGACACAGTTTGAAATCAATATAGTATTAATGTAAATATATATTAGAAAAATTCACTTTAAATTCTAAAATAAAAATTCAGCTATAACTGTAAATAGGAATACATATTGCTAAATCTGATTATACATTACCATTGATTCAAAACTTTAAGATTTGTAAGTTTTTGGTTGTATTTATTTATTGTTGTAAGAAATTAATAGGGATGCACCGTAATGAAAATTCTTGGCCGAAGCCAAGAACAAAATGAAACACTGGGCCGAAGGGCAGAATACCAAACACAGTTTTTCGCCTTTTTTCTCATGTATTTTGCCAATTCTTTCACCATTGCATAAATTAAAAAGCCAAAAGTCGCTTTTTACTGTTTTGTCTTGCTTTTCAAAGGAAAAAAAATCAATTACAGAACAACAATTTAAAAATATTTACTTGACACTGAACATTTTTTAACATTCTAGAGATTATACCAACAAAGCACAATTTCACTTAAAATTAAGTTAGTAAAATAATGTTTTTGGGCCATTTTTGAGACCCCTTTATTGAATCAGGCATGTATTTTTTACTGTACAAATAAATGCATCCTTGCTGAGCAGAAGAGACTTATTTTAAAACATTAGAAAATATGTGAACACTGTGTGAATGTTATAAGAAATGTATTTAATAGAGCTGTTGTAAATATCATCATTATTGTCTTTTTTCTTTTATTTTACAGAACAACAGTAAAATTACAATACTAACATTTATGAATGCTGATGGAGTTCTTGCAGGAAGATCTCAGTGCTTCTTTTTGCAACAACAGCAGATTTATAAATGAGTCTCATTACAAACTTGATAAGATGTTTGACGCACGCAACACATTGTTACATCCATGCCTTATAAAAATTCATAAAAATGTTACTGAGCAACTGACGAGTAGCACGGTTTCAGTGCAGATTTGGACTTTGAACCCTGGCTAACAAGCAGATAGCGTCACTAGCTCGAGCAGCGCTGTTTGAATACATAACATTCGGCATTTTATTTAATTGTTTAAGGCCATTTCGTGATTTCAATCGTCATACAGTAACCAGCAACAACCACCCCGTCCTCTTCTCATCAAAAACATGAGATGCAGTACTAAACGGTCTCTTGCTGTCGGTGCTTGTAATGATTTTTGTGTCTTTCTCAGACAGTTTTAAATGCTTCCACACTGCCTTTTGCTGCATTAGTGCGCGCTATTTAATCACATCACGTCATTGTTCAGTACAATGTATTCGGTCTTTTCGCTTATTTCGGTTGCCGAACATTCGGTGCATCCCTAAAAATTAATACTTTTATTCAGCAAGGATGCATTAAATTGTGACAGCAAAGATATAAAATTACAAAAGATGTCTATTTCAAATAAATGTTCTTGCGAACCTATTAACATTTAAAAAATACTTACAAAATATGAAAAAATAACTTTAACAATGATAATATGAAATGTTACTTGAGCACATATCAGTCTATTAGAATAATTTATGAAGGATCACATCACCCTAATATATTTAGATTAACATTTTAATATTCATATTTTAAATCTATTAAAGTAGAAAACAGTTATTTTAAATTGTAATAATAACTATCATTAAAAGTATTGTTTTATTGTATTTTTAATCAAATAAATGCAGCCTTAGTGAGCATAAGAAACCTCTTTGAATAACATAAAAAACAACTTGAAACCTTTCAACAGTAGTATATATTTATTCTTTACATATAAATGTTATTATCCGGTTTTAATTAAATGTTTTTAGCTTAGTAATTTTTTTAGCTAACAACAGGCTTGTTGCAAAATATGTTCTCAAAAGGAAGTCAGAAAATGGCAAAACTTTGCTACCTACAATTTGAAATAACGGAGTTGGCTTCATAAAGAAAAAGAAACATAATCGGAACTTCTTAGTGGTTAAAGAGTGCGAGACAACCTGACAGACATGGTGCAAAAACGAAAGGTAATAAAACTCTGAATGAAACGTACCTGTCTGTTGCTCCGTGGGAGACGGGCCAGGCGGACTCCATTCATGTCGAACAGCCTGACCTGCCTGTTGTCATGTGGCAGAGCGATGATTCTTTGGTTCGCTGAGACACTTATCCTGCAGGTTACAGCCAGAAAATCAATCAATAAACACAATTAAATGTAAAGAAACAAGCAGCATCTGTTTACACCAAATGCAGAAAGCTGATCTCATTGACAAAGGTTACTTTCACTCCCATCAGTTAAATAATTTCCAAAATAACACTTTGTGCGAACAGCATCTATTGCACTTGATGTAAACAAGATGTTGCCATTTAATAGTGCAAATAGAGCTAGATACTACTTACTAAATGTGCATAATCAACTAAATATATATATATTATCCAAATCTTCTGTACTATTCCTAGTTCAGAAGCCTGACTTGACTTCATTCTTTCAGAATATCTTGATATAAAGGAATAAAGTTACTCAATTTCCCAGAACTTTCTAAAAACGCACTGTGATGTCTCTACTTGTTCAGAAACAACAGTCTCAGGAAGCTGTCTTACACCTCACCAACCTGCTGCTCTTACCTATTAACGGCTGAGTCTGTGCGGATGGTAGCAATTGGAGATCTCATGTTCTTCAAGTCCCACACCTTGACGGTGCGATCGTCACTTCCCGACACCACGTTGTCTCCCACGGTGAACACAGCTGACGTCACGGTGCTGAAAGAAACAAACGGCTCGTCAACAAAACCTCGCTCAAACATGCTCCAATCACTCTTTAACACCTCAATGCTAAAAATATCATCCTGAACAAATGCACATGAATTTCACTAGGGCTGGGTAAAAAATATTGATATCTCGATATTAATCGATTCTCCTTTTTACGGAACGATATCGATTCTTAAATCCCAAGAAAAAATTAGTCTAGCCTGTTTTCAGTTAATGGACAGTTGAAGGGGACGGAACGTCCCATCCAATAAATTGCAATAAGCACTTTGGTACTTTTAATCTGAAAAAGTCTCAGATTTCAAATTCTGTCCATTGTATTGCAGTATTTAAACAATAAATTACGTTTTGGCGCTGTTTAATGTGGAGTGACAGATCGCTGTAGCACCTCAGTTCAACAGATGCGGCAGCGCGAGGCGCACGTGAACTGATCATCTCCTCCACATTAATACCAGTTTCAGCACGAAATAAACATGAATAAACATCCGAAGGTAAGTTAAAAGAAAGAGTACAACTTTACAATCTGTATCCTGTCTCATGTAATCGCTCAATCAGTGTTTCAGCCGCGCAAAGACGTCAATATAACGTCTTGTAAACAATGTCACGTAACGTCATATTTACCTCAGAAAAAACATATTTGGTGACCATAAACTCAGTCAGATAGAAAAATAAACTGTAGAGAGGGGCAGTTTGCCAAATGTATGCACCATATAACATTCATTATAAATTTTACTGCTCTTCAATGTTTAATTTATGTTTGAATAAATCCATCAAGTTTTTATGACAGCCACCATTGTTTATATTTAAAAAAAAATTAAAAACAAATGTAAACTAATTGAAGTAGAAATATTATGTAATTGTAACTTTATTATTAAAAACTTCATTAAGTGAAATTTTAACAAATCAGTTAATTTTAACCTTCAATATTATAGTAATGTAGTGCCAACTGACTTTCATGTATATTTTACAGGATTAGTTGAGAGATATTTTTCCCTTGAGAAAATTTGCATGTACTGTACCTAATATATATCCAAAATAATCTATATTTTAAAAACAAATGTAAACTAATTGAAGTAGAAATATTACGTAATTGTAACTTTATTATTAAAAACTTCATTAAGTGAAATTTTAACAAATCAGTTAATTTTAACCTTCAATATTATAGTAATGTAGTGCCAACTGACTTTCATGTATATTTTACAGGATTAGTTGAGAGATATTTTTCCCTTGAGAAAATTTGCATGTACTGTACCTAATATATATCCAAAATAATCTATAATGAATCGAATCGAAAGCTTGTGAATGAGAATTTAAACGAATCGTGAAATTTGTGTCAAAACCCAGCCCTAGTTTTCACGAAGTACACGGTAAGATACATGTACATATCGCTCTGTAGAAAACGGAAGTTGCAGAAGGTCAAGGATCTCGGCTGCTAATGTGAAGGACACCCACTTAATCCTGATCATGAGAGATGGTGATCTTGCCGTGTAATAATTGCGTTCTTGAGCGAGACTCTTAACTCCAGAACGCTCCAGCAGGGATTGTCTCTGAATTAAGTGTGGCGTAAGGGACTTTGAATGAAATACATCAGCAAAATGGCAAGTCCCCTAAAAGTAACTAGCTCAGCACTCAAGTATTCTTTGAAAGCAAGATAGACTCTTTCTTTTACTGGAATGACAAATTACTGTACAGAGTGACTAGAGAGTGCTCAAGGTGATTTGGTTATCTCCACAGTCTTATTCTTTGCAGTACCCAACAGATCAAGAAGCAGATCACGTGAACTCCACTTTCTGCATTTCCATTGGTAGTCTATTATTTTATCATCAACAAATAGTTATAACTGACGATCATTAGTGTCACTTCTAAAGGTGCTGCACCAGCAGACGCCATCAAACAGACGTTCATTGAGTTTTGTCTGATCAGTGTGTTAACTCTGTGACGTCTGTAGCTGTTGGTCAACACTTGTTCTCGGTGTTGAATTGGCGTTTGGTCTGCATCTGTATGAAGTGAATTGGCCTTAAGGACTCGAGTCTAACCCTACTAAGCGAATGTTCAGGAGGATTTGGTGCCACTCTACAGTGGCGATGTGGGTATGCTGAACATTGTTGGGCAGGTAGTATAATAGTCTAGGCTTAAGCAGACATGGTCACTGCCTGATGTATAGTGTGCACAAAATAGCACAATCTGGCAGAACTAACCGGTTCCAATCTGACTGGTTCACTTCAACACAACTTCAGGGATTCACAACCTTATCTCATGACGAAAATGTACCTGTGGGAACTTTTTCGCGAGACACAAAATACATAGTGCCATGTACGTTTGGTGACATATTTAATGTGAGATGTCCACTGGGTGGTGCTGAAAGAGTGTTCGTATTTTTTCCATGGAACAGATGAACGTACATATGGTACATTTTATATGACATTGGTTTTGTACGTGTCACCGTAGTTCTGACTTGAAATGTCCGTTGAGTGGCGCTATAACTCTAATGCTCCATGACGTTTTAAAATAATGTACCATCTGCACTACACCTAAACCTACCCGATAGTATGAACAAAAGTGAATGTGATGTAAAAACGCAATTGCAAGCATTCCGTTTTAGCTTGTTTAATCTTTCAGCTTTTTCATTGCGTCTTTTTTTTCCCCACGACATTACCCAAGGATTCCGCATCCTAAGTCAAATTCCATGCCGGCTGAGCTGCCAAGCAAGCTTGTAACATCCAGAAAGCGAAACATATGGAGCTGGAGTCATAACTGTGTATGAAAATAATTACAAGTGCCTGCTGTTTTACCGCCTCTAGTGTTCATTTCTGTTGAAAACTTCAGAGATATGTACTTATTGGTACGTATTTCGCATCTTGCGAAAAAGTTCCCACAGGTACGTTTTCGTCATGAGATCAGGTTGGGGGTTTAAAGTGGACAGATTTGGATTATACGGAGCGATTTACACTGAAAGCTGTTCGCCAAGTAGCTGCATTGCTGACTGCTAGTAGGCATTCCTATTTATTAAGCCCAGTGGTTCCCAACCACTCCGTTCCTGGAGTACCCCTAACACTGCACATTTTGGATTTCTCCTAAATCAAAAGACACTTGATTCAACTTGTCAGCTCATTAGTAGAGACTCCAATACCTGAAATGGGTGTTTCAGACAAAGGAGATATGCAAAATATGCAGTGTGGGGTGGGGGTGGGGACCAGAAATATGGTTGGGAACCTCTGATCCAGCCAATCATGAGACCGACTATGTGAGCTCCACCACATTGAGAAGATGCATTAAATGCTGTAATGATGTAAATGATGTAAGTTAAATGCTGATCTTTGTTGAATTGTAAATGATTTATATCTATTATTTTACTTTAAATTGACATCTGTCAAAGAGTTTTTAAAGTGATTGAAGCAGGGATGTTGCTAGTGAGGGGAAGGGTGGAACTTACTACAGAAGGATCAAGAGCTCAAAATAGTAACCACCTTGTAAACCACACAAGGGGGCCAGAAGGCCTAGCGACTCAAAAGTCAAAATTGTCTATAAAATGAATCAGAACTGAGGGCATGGAAAGAGGAAATTCTCACTGGTCAGTGGAACAGTTTCCTTTATCACAGTATGTTACAACAAGTTAAAATATCTCAACTTTTGGACTAATGATGTAGTATCACTTTTCCAAAGCCTTGTGCTTTTCCTCTATATCCAATTTGGAAGTCAATGTTGTGGCAGAATTTTCAAAGCACAAGTCCTAGCTTGCAATCATCTTAAGTGGACAATTCTTGGCCAGAATAAGCTGTGGACCAGACTTTATTGTCGCAGTCGAAAGTCTGGTAATGTGGGCCTACATGTGACTTCTGTGATGAGGCTTGAGTTGCTAGTGGAATTGAATCTTCCCAACAAATTATATTATTGTGATGATGAAATTAAACTCATCTTTCCCTGGTTGGAAGGACCACCCTCTGCTCCTTTACAGGGCATGAGAGCACCAGCAGCTGGGGTAAAATGAGGCAGAGAGTGTGTGTGTGTGATCTGAGACAGTCTGGGTGAACAGCAGGAATGTCAGCAACCCTCAGGGTCACAGCGCACATTTAACTGCTCCGCTCAGCACACACACTTCCATTTAATGGACCTTAATATTTCTAATCTATCACGTCATTCCCTGCTGACATTTCTCTCCTCTTTGTATTCCCTTCTCTCGGGAGAGCAAAATGAAAAAAAAGAAAAGGGCCGGAGTGGTGCTCCGCTCGCCTCTAGCCGTGCTAATTTGAATTGACATGATATTAAGGTTTAATTAGGGGCTAAATTCCGCTGCATTAAAGATTTGGAGTTGGGTTTGGCTGTATTTAACAGCTTTGCTCGGCTTGCTCCGGCACAGTTCACATCCAAAGTGAAGCGTGGAAACGCTTTCTGACATTGCGGGTTGCCACCGGAAAGCGAGGGTGGGGGTAGTGGTGGGGCCGATAATAGATTAAAAGCTTGATTAAAATCCTATTACAACTCAAATGATATTTTGGGAATGTTCCGTTTCCCCTGGGACCACTGACAAGCAAGGTCGAGACTCATTAGAGGAAGAGCTGCATGTGCATTTAATAGAGATCCAGTGCTGGAGTATAATAAGCTCTTTAAAACAATGGTTAATGTAGTTGAATGTGGTTAAAATGCTTGCTGAGACTGGGAAATGTGTTGAAAATGGTTTGAGATGTATGAAATTCATAGTTGTGAATTATAATTATGAAACATATATTTAAAACAGAATTTATTCCGTGTACACAGTAGTGTCCAAATCCAAACTAGCATGAATTTCTTTCTTCCATGGACACAAAACAAGAATCTCAGAATCTCTCTACAATCGGAGTTTTGTTAAAGGGGTCATATGATGCGATTTCAAGTTTTCCTTTCTCTGTTACAGGCTGTTCGTGAATAGATAAGATCCCTAAAGTTGCAAAGACTAAAGACTCAAACCCAAAAAGATATTCTTTATAAAAAATTAAGACTCGTCCACACCCTCCAAAAACGCCTCGTTTAGACACGCCCCCACATGTTTACATCACCGTGTGGGAAGATTTGCATAACACCGCCCAAATGTTCACGCAAAGAA